TGAGTGTGTGTGTGTGTGTGTGTGTGAGTGTGTGTGTGTGTGTGTGTGTGTGTGTGTGTGTGTGTGTGTGTGTATGTGTGTTGTAGATTTATGTTAAACAATCGCTTTGAACCCAGAATTAACATAAATCCAGCCAGTGCCCGTATTCTGAAGAAGAGTTCTGTAGGATTTCAGTTATAGTTTTAGTAATAGTTTTACAACAATTGCAACACAATAAGGTCATATAATTGCCTAGGGGTGTTACTAGAGAGTAACAAACCCGCAAAAAGGAGGAGAGATAAGGACGATAAATATTTGACTGGAAAGAAGAAGCACACCCCATCTGAGCACTCGCCAACCACCCTCAAATTTCAGCTTGATTTTGTACTGCTAAAGGGGTATCTCCACAAAGCACAGCAAGTTAATAGAATTGCGGCATGCGAAATTAAATGTCTTAGAAAAATATGATACATCGCATGAAGTGACAGACTAAGAAACGAAGACATCAGACGTCAAGTATAGGCTTTGAATGGAGCATAAACTGTCCCGACGTGGTGGAACCAAGCGCTCGTCAATGTTTGGGCATGAGGATTTTAAAAAGTTTTAGTAGAGGTTTTACGGCGCTCGCAACTGCATAAGGTCAGATGAGCGCCAGATGATTATAGGTGTTACAAGAGAGTAACAAACATAAAAAAGAAGAAGAGGATATAAGGACGATATATCTTTGATAGGAAAGAAGGAGCAAACCACATCAGAGCACCAGCCAACCACCCGCACATGAGGATTGTTGTTATCGGCTTAAAGCTTGTTCATTTGTCTTGCTTTCGATGAAAAAAATTCATTTTATTTAGTATACAAATCGAGATATTGGTGATTGAAGGAGGTAGAGGTCACCTGGTTTCAGAGGTAAAATTGGCGAAAAAATGGCCGCCAAACTTTAGTTTTCTCCTTAGCTTGAGAGTCATTGGAAACTGAAGATGCACATTTTTGTGCCTTTAATCAATGTTTTCCAGTAAAATTCATACATAACTGTGTTCTTTATTGGACATGAAAGATGTTAAGACAAAAAAAAAAAATCGACAGAAATTCACAAACTTGATGGAAAATGCCAGTTTCTTGACTTTGACTTTGATTATTTTGACGCGCGCCTGATTTCATCACGCTGTCTCACAAATATAGCGAGAGATAGTAACAAAGAAAGTAGTTTGTACATGTAATGAGAGTGGGATCACAACAGCCAGCCTTCAAGGCCTACACCTATTTACCCTAGAATGACAAAGTTCTATCTTCTCAGTACTTAGTTTTGAGACATTTGAGATGAAATAAAGATTGTCATTGTCATTGTCATACATTTTGTGTTTCACGACATGTCGTCAAACTTTTTAGAATACAATTCGTTGAATGTCTTGATAATGACTCCGAACAATCCAACAATTTTGATGGAGCAGATAAAACATTTGTGAGGCAGCGTGGTGGAATCAGGCTCCCGTCAATTTTTGGGAATGTAGAATTATTTGTATCATCTTAAAACTTGTTCACTTGTCTTTATTTAGATTTTTAAAAATCCATTAACTTGAATACAAGTCGAGATATTTGCGAAAGAAGGAGGTGGGGGTGCTCCTAGCCATGTTGTCCTCTTGTCCAGTATCTTTTCCCTCTGTCTACCTCTGCCTCTTTTTCCATCAAACTTGCCTGTTGTTACAATATTCTCCGATGCTTCTTTCCGCATTGTGTGTCCGAAAAAATTTGCCAGTCGTGTGGTATACCTTGACCTTGATCATCAATCATTTATTGATAGAGGCACCAGCCATCCATGTCCAGGTGCTTCCTTATCGTGTGGGTATAAGAGAACCAAAAAAGAAAGTAAAGTTAAAAAAGTGAATGAAGTATAATAGAGGTGTATCTCTGTTTTTGATGAATGGAATTTGTCTCTATGTGAGGCATCGAGGTGGCATCAGGCTCTCGTCAAAATAATCAAAGTGAAGAAACTTTATTTTTCCGCAGGCTTGTGAATTTTTATCAAATTTTTGTTTTTTGGCTCAACACCTTTCATGTCCATTAAAATACTTATTTCTGAGGGGATTTTTCTGAAAAACGTTGGTTAAAGGCACAACAATGTAAATTTTCTGTTACCACGGACTCTTAAGCTAAGTAAATAATAACTAATCTTTGGCGACCATTTTCTCACTAATTTTACCTCTGAAAATAGGTGACCCCCACCTCCTTTTTTTAGTAAATATCTCGACTTGTATTCAAGGTAAATGGATATTTATTTTTTCATCTAAATAAAGACAAATGAACAAGCTTTAAGATGATAGCAATAACTCTACATGTCCAAAAATTGACGAGTGTCTGATTCCACCTATGTTCTACCCACAGCATGGACGGTCCGTGGAAGCTCACAGTCCTGGTCCTTGCAGTGACTCTGACTCATCGTGAGTACTTGTGTGTACGTGTGTGTTTGTTTGTTTGTTATTGTTTGTTTATTTGTTTGTTTGTTTGTTTGATTGATTGTTTATTCGTTTGTTTCTTTGTTTGTACCTTTGTCTGTCTCTTTGTTTGTTTGTTTATTCCTTTGTTTGTTTGTTTGTTTGTTTGTTTGCACTTTTGTTTGTCTCTCTGTTTGTTTATTTATGTATTTGTTTGCAGCTTTTGCTAGACTGGTTTGTTTGTTTGTTTGCTAGACTGGTTTGTTTGTTTGTTTGCTAGACTGGTGTGTTTGATTGATTGATGGTTTTGTTGTTTGTTTCTGGCGTGTGGCTGGAGAGCGCCACTTGTAGGTCCTACTTCTTTACTTTCCATCTATTGTCTCTGTCTATGTCTGTATGTCCAGCTTTTCCCCGAGCACTAAATTGGGACCCTTGTTTTATCGACGTGCTTCTCTTAATCAAACATACAAACAAACAGTTTTTTTTCTTCTTATTGCATATTCTTCTTCTTGTTTTTGGAAAGTGGGATTTTAAAATTATTTTTCTTTTTTCTTAAAAAAAAAATTTTTTTTTTGGGAGGGG